ATTAAATAAAAAATTTCTTTAAATAATAATTAATTAAAAATAAATATAAAATTTTATTAATTAAAATTTTATTAATTAATTATGAGAAACTAAATCTATTAAAATATAACAGGAGGGGACATATATATATTTTTCATAACTCTATAATATCACAGAAATTGTAGTATATTGTGAGTATGTAGACCTAAAACATTCCGCGCCAATTTGGCATGTGACAAGCAAACCCCAGCAATGCAAAAACCGAAACACTTTGGTTAAAACCCCGATTCAGTCCCTCAACTTTCATTTTTGAACTAAAACTACCCTTGAACTTCAAAAAGTATTAAAAAAATCCTTGAACTTCAATTTTTTAGACCAATTTCATCCTTCCGTCGACGAAAGTGCCAAATGCCACGTTAAGTTGCCACGAAATCAAGTTTTTTTTTTTTCAACTAATGACATGGAAAAACCACATGTAAAAGTGTATGAGTTGGCATTTTATCCTTAAAATTACACAATTATCCCTTATCTTTAATTTTTTTATATTTGTTGAAGTTACCAAAATACCTTTATCTTCAACCTCACTAATCCCTCACTTTTCGCAATCTCCTTCAACATGCCTGGGTTTTTTCTTCTATTTCTTTGTTCTTCTATTTCTTTGTTGGTTGCAATGATGCTTGACTATCTTGATATGGGATTTAGAGTTTTGATATGGGTTCTGCTTGCTTAAATTTCAAGGTTCAGTTACGGTTGGTGTTGATTGAAAGGATGTTGAGTTTTTTACATTTTTCTTTTTTTTTTTACAGATTTGGTATAAGTTTGCAATATGATTAATTTGTTGAATTTTTATAAATTTGGTATAAGTTTACAGTATAATTGATTTTTTGAATCAAATTTATTAGCCATTATTATTGTGTGAGGAACCAAATTTGGATTCCATTAGAAAGGAGGTTTGGGAGGTTTGGGGAAGAGGGAGATGGTGATTAGAGTGGAAAGAGATGATCGGAGCAATGAGGAATAATCAGAACTGATTAGGGGTATTTAAGAAATTTTATATTTTTTAATATATAAATTAATTAAAATAATGTGGATGATAAGTTATTTTTCATGTAATTAAAGATTTCAAACAATAATTGATTTCATGGCAACTTAACGTGCCATATGGCACTTCCGTCAACGGAAGGACGAAATTGGTCCCAAAAATTGAAGTTCAAGGCTTTTTTAGTACTTTTTGAAGTTCAAGGGTATTTTTAGTATAAAAATGAAAGTTGAGGGACTGAATCGGGGTTTAACCAAACACTTTCTCAATCAGGAGTCAGTACTCGTGCTGGGGCCGTTGATTGGTTCGTGGTATCACGTGCTCAAAGCGTGGCTTCTGGAACTACTACTCATACTATTT